TGGTTTAGTTCCAACGATAGGACCGGCATCTAGTGTTCCCGTAGCTATCCAAGCAACAGGTGCTGTCTTAGCCAGCGCAGGGATTTATACCACCTCAGATGCAAGAAGAAAAAAAAAATTCTTTGATACGCTTGACAATACCTCAGTAATGAATGGTATGCTCTCTATCAAGCCAAAACTCTATAAATACAAGACCCAAGATATACTGTTCCTATAAAGCTCAAGATCTTCTGAAGAAAAATTTAGGAGCAGTCATCAATTACTTTCCTAATGAACCATTAGTAGTTGAGGACGCTTCTATTGATTTAGCTGACATTAAATTTAGCGTTGATTATAGCAAGATATGTTGCTACCTACATAAAAAACGCAGTAACAGCAGAAAACAAGAAATGCTTTAACATCGTCATCTTCTGACGTATCAAATCAATTAGTCGCAGCTAGCGCTAAGATTGCTGATCACAAAACTCGTATCATGAAATTAGAAGCCAAAATTTTGAATAACTTATTTAAGTAGCAGATTACCCCTCCAGAGCTCTGTGGCCACACAAAAAAAATGTCGCAGCTCGAGAGATTTTACTGAGACTTAGATTGCAAAAGGCTTTGCGATCTTTTTTTTTTCTTGCTGAATGGGTAATCCCAGACACGACCACCCTCTGTTTTGGTCGACGCATTCACTTTCTTAATGGACTTATCAAGATCAGTTGCCCATACAGCTGCTGGGGTCTGTCTGTTGGGGGCGATCACGAATAATGAGATTTTTCATAATTGCTTTTAGTTCCGCAACATTAAGGTCAGCATTATCTCCATAGCTGCCTCCGGAACGCGGATTGAAAAGAACATGGATGTTTTATATTAGATCGAATAATATTATTGTACAAGCAGTAAATATCACAATGCAAAAATGTCATTAAGATATGAAATGTTCTACAACTGTGTTAAGATGGCAGACCTTGACTTTTTCTAAGCTCTGCTCTGTAACTTTGTTAAGGTCGCAGCATTGACTTCGTCTAAGATCTGTTTTATATCAGACGAACTATAAATAATAATAAAAAAAAATATCCTTGAATTCTGAATCCGAGATGAGACGATTAGAATACATATCCACACTCAACGATTGGAGCTGCTTGATGCTCGAAGGGTTCTCGTTACCCAACGCAAGTTCCCCCTTCAGCTTTTCATACTATGCTTTCAGAGATGCTAGTGGATCCTCGAGACGATCATGAAAGTTGTATTGAAGATGGGTG